TCTTGCCCAGAAGAGGGTGTTGCGCAGCAGTTGTGGCATGTCTAGCACCAAGGATTCTGCTTTAATCAAGTTAGGGAGGTGTCTTGCCTAGCAGAGGGTGTCGCACAGCAGATGGGGCGCGCGTTGTGTTAGGCACGGAAAGCGTAAAGAAAATTGTACGTTGAAAAACTGGGCCTGGTGAAAAGAAGGAGCATCTTCACAAGGAATAGCGTCTTCATCCGGAATAGCGCTTTCACAAGGAATATATAGCGTCTTCACCCGGAATAGCGTCTTCACTGGGAATAGCGTACTCACCCGGAATAGCTAGCGTCTTCACAGGGAATAGCGCCTTCACCTGGAATAGCGTCTTCACCCGGAATAACATCTTCACCCAGAATAGCGTCTTCACCGGGAATGGCGTCTTCACCGGGAATAGCACCATCACCGGGAATAGCGTCGTCACCCGGAATAGTGTCTTGACCAGGAAGAGCGTCCTCACCGGGAATAGCGTCTTCACCAGGAATAGCGTCTCCACCCGGAATAGCGTCTTCACCGTGAATAGCGTCTTCACGGGGAATAGCGTCTTCACCGGGAATAGCGCCTTCACCCAGAATAGCGCCTTCACAGGGAAGAGAGTCTTCACAGGGAAGAGAGTCTTCACCGGGAATAGCGCCTTCACCGGGAATAGCGCCTTCACCCGGAATAGCGTCTTCACCCGGAATAGCATCTTCACAGGGAATAGCGCATTCACCCAGAATAGCGTCTTCACCCGGAATAGCGCCTTCACCCGGAATAGCGTCCTCACCCGGAATCGCGTCTTCACTGGGAATAGCGTCTTCACCCGGAATAACGTCTTCACAAGTCATAACGTCTTTACCCGGAATAGCGTCTTCTCCTGGAATAGGTTCTGCACCCGGAATAGCGCTTTCACCGGGAATGGCGTCAGTGCTGTCTGTGTCCGCACAGCGCGTCTTCACCGGGAATAGCGTCTTCACCGGGAATAGCGTCTTCACCGGGAATAGCGTCTTCACCCGGAACAGCGTCTTCACAGGGAATAGCGTCTTCACCGTCTTCACAGGGAATAGCGTCTTCACAAGGAATACCGTCTTCACAGGGACGCGACGTTACAGGGAATAGCGTCTTCAAATAGCGTCTTCGGCGCCGGCTCGAACTGGGAACCCCAGTTGCCGGGGCAATGTGTATATATATATATATACACACACATACACACATACCACGCAGATGACATGAAACCCAGGAAACCAGGAGAGAGGCCCGCCATGCATAGAACCTCTTTCGGCCTGATTGCGGGGGACGTTGGCTTCCTCGGAAGTGGCCCCGGAGTCTGGGAGCGGGAGTGGAAAAAGGGTGGAGGAATGAGACAGGGTGGAGAGAATGGTCTGTGGACAGTCTTGAGGAGCCCCTTGAGCCACCTTGGCACCTTGCGACCAGCTCGGGGGTCCGACCGGAGCCAACCTGCCTGGGACGTCTGACATGCTTGGGGACCCGTCTGGGGACAACTTGGACTGTCTCCAAAGGTATTGGAAGCCCCAGATGCCCCAATAGCAGCCCACATGCAATCTGGGGCGGGCTTGGGCTCAAGGGCCGCCTGGGCCAAAGATTCCGCATGGAACCGGACCCCAAACCTGAAAATCTGCGCGTACGTGGCACGCGCCCCCTGAGCTTCCCGACGTACATGTGGGAACCCCTACGTCTTCCCGCGCGACTTTTTCGAGCCCACGAAAAGCTCAAAACGGGCCCAAAGGGCCCCAAAAGGCCTTCATAACGATCCTACTGGACACCGAGATGCCAGCCTCCAGAACGACTCGTTGAACGCTGCCTCCCCCATGCTGTTGTCTTTCCTGCTTTTCATCTTCCCCACTCCTCGCGATTCGGATGACGGAACCTGCCCCAAGAATCCTGAAATCTATCCACGCGTTGTCGCGGGGCATTTTCAGTACACAATCCGCCCACCTGTGGTCTTGCCACAGAGATGCGCGGCGTGCCAACCTTCTAACTTCTTGACATCTTGCACAACCCGTGGCGAGAGTAACCGCAACAGCAATGGCGGCCTCGGCGACGCCAAGCAAGCTCTGAACACCAGAGCAGCTCAAACCTAAACGCATCGCCCCGATGTGGGGTCGGCGGCAGAGGCGGCAGCCTTTAGATATGCCCCCAAGAGATTACCAAGAGATCCCTGAGAGGCCCCCGGGACAGCCAAGAAACCCCCAAGAAGCGCCATGAGGCCCCGAGCTCGCCATGTTCTTCTTCTTCCTCCTCCTCCTCCTCCTCCTCCTCCTCCTCCTCCCCTCATTATCCTCCTCATCCGCCTATGTCTCATCCTCTCTCCGCCCCCTCCCCCACCTCCTCCTGCTTCTCTTCCTCTTCCTCCTCGTCCTCCTCCGCATTTCCTGCCTCTCCTCCTCCTCGTCGTCCTCCCCCTCTCCGATCCCTCCTCCTTCTTCTCCCTCCTGGGACACGACGGTTTCTCCAGCCTTTTGTTGCTCTGAATGCTCCCCCACCTCTCTGATCAGGGATCTCGTCTGGGCATCGTCTCTGAATGGGCTTATCGACTTTCCACTTCCGATCGTTCTTCAAAGCCTCTATATGGCTCCAGAATGGCCCAAGACGGCTTCAAGAGAGGCCCAATAAAGCTCGAAGACGGCCCCAAGAGCGCCCAAGAACGCCTCAATAGCGTCCCACGAGGACCTCAAGGGGCGATTTGAGGTGCTATCGGCGGGGCGGCGTTGGTTCAACCAATGCGTCACGACAAGAGCGCTCCAAGAGGGGTCCAGGAGGCGATTCTCGGCGCTCCCGAGGGGGGCTAATTGGAGCTCCCCTCTTCTGTTGATCCATGTCCTCAAAGGTGGCCCCAAGAGCGCCCCTGCAGCTCCCAAGGAGCGCCCCAAGAGGGCCCCAAGAGGCGCCCAGACGGCCCCGAGAGGCCTCTAAGAGGCTCCCAAGAGACTCCATACGAGGCTTCAAGAGGATCCCCGAAGTACCCGACTCTCCCTCACTCTCCTCCTACTCGTCCTCCTCGTCCTCGCCCTACTCCACCTCATCCTCCTCCTCCTCTTCTCCTCCTCCTCCGACGACGATTCCTCCTCTATCCTCCCCCTCTTGGGGTGCATGGCGGCTTCCCCCGCCCTTTGTTCTTCTGCATGCTCCCCCACTTCCCTGGTCGCCTCAACTCCCCTGGGCATCGTTTCCGGACGGGCTGGTGGGGGTATTTTTTTTTGGGTCGCGGCCGCGAGCGAAGAGCGCAAGCGGCGAACAGGGTGTCCGGGCTGACGGGCAAACATAATTAGCTGCTGGGCGCAGCGCGAGCCGGCCGGGCCAACTCTGAGAGGCAGCAGCTGCGGCAGCGGCGGCGGGGGGCTGGCTGGCTGAACTGCAACGCTCAGGGAAGCTCGAGCATCGTGCAGCCCTGTGGCAAAATGCCAGGGAATTCTGTGTTTTGCGCCGCGGCGCCAGTCCACCACGGTGAAGGTGCATTCAGTCCACCACGGTGAGGGTGCTGTCGGGACAAGCAGAGGGTGGCCTGCACGTACACTCCTCCCAGACACTGCAGTGGGGAAAGGCAAGGTACACACTGGTCATGTCGCGCTGGTGGGGGTACGCGAAGCGTCGCCAATGGGGAAGCTGTTGGGGGAGAGTGGACCTGGAGAAGCACGGCGCCCAAAGGCGGGCACGTCCGGCACCTTGGGCGCCCAACGCTGGAGGGGTCTCCCCCGGCGGGCCTCATCAAGACCAGAAACGCAACGTGCTCTCAAAACGCATCCGGGGCGCATCCCGGACACGCGGGCGCAGGTCGACGAGAAGCGAAAGATGAGAAGGAGGAGGATGAGGTGTAGGAGGAAGAGGAGGGCAGTGGGGGAGACAGGGCAGGCGGCGAAGCGACGAATCGGCTCACAGAGGCGCCCGCGATCCTCCGAGAGCGCCGCCGGACCGCCCCGCGGCCGGGGCGCGGCCTCCTCGAGCCTCGACTGCCGCTGCCGCTGCTGCCGCCGCTGCGCGCGCTCAGAGGTATTCATTCTTGAAGTTGCCACAGACGACAAGCAAGTCGCTCTTAACCGCCTCGAGCTGCGTCTTCAAGTGACGTACACCATCCGCATCCATGATCAACTTTTTGAGCTTGCTGTCCTGGTTCCGACGCAGGTCATCAACGATGGGCCTCCAATCAATCGAATCGCCCTTCAGATCGGGCTTTAAATGGTACTGCAACATCTTGTTCTGGGCAAGCATCTCCCCGACCGGCATGACGGATTCATGATGCACGGGTATGCCCAGCTCGATCAGCGTCGTGTTGTCGCGGAGGGTTTGCATCATCTCAGGGATGCTGGAGCGAATACCAGGGTTCCCCCAAACTTGCAGAATCTTCAGTGTTTTGCTCTTGACCAGCATGTACGCAATTGCCTTGCCGGAGTCCTTGTCAAGCTCGTTACGCGCGAGGTCCACCTCGGTCAGGTCATCCATCCAGGCGCTTTTCTCGATGCGCTTGATCAGGTTATGACGAACTTTCAGAATCTTGAGGACGTTCTTGGTTATGGTGAGGGTTCCGGTGAGGACGTTCTTGGTTGTGGTGAGGGTTCCGGTGACGGGGTCGATGTCCGTGATACAGTTACTCGAAATGTCCAGACTCTTCAGCGTCCTGTTCTGGCGCAGCATCCTGCCCAGACACTCGGCGTTCTTGATGTTATTAAAACGCAAGGCCAGCGTCTTCACCGTCGTGTTTTGGCACAGTCTCTCGGCAACTCTTGCGACCGCCGCGTCGCCGAGACATTTGCCGTTCAGGCTCACCTCCTCGCCCTTGTAATTGACGAAAAGGTTGCGCCGCTATTCCCACGCCTCGGCCAACTTGATCAGCGCAGAGAAGCCCGCCGTGACGATGTTCGCCATGGCTACTGCCCCGAAGTTCCCGTTGTAGGTGAAGGCTCCATCCGCGCCCCACATGGAAACCAAAAGGGAAAGGACGACGGCTGGGAGATCCTCGATGACAGTGCACCAGGCCTTGACGGAGCCTGTGCTGAGGCCACGTTTGGAAAGGCGTTTGCGCAGCCCTGCGGCATCGAACGTCTGGAGGTACCATGATACACCAGCGAAAACGAGGGAGACCCACAAGCTGTTCACGAGCCTGCTGGGGAGTTCCACGTCCCCCTGATTGTGCAGCACCGTGAGCCCTGTCGCATTCTCAAACAAGAAGTTTAGGTCCGCTGACACACTTGAAAAAGCGAATGCTGGCGTGATGTCCTCCTCCTGTCCCTTGCACATGTAGCAACCTTTTCCGCGTCAGCTACGACGGAAGCAAGAGAAACTGAACCTACACTCTGAGCCCGGAAGCTTGAGCCAAAACGACCATGGCAGGCAACCTGGGAAGCTTTGGGCGCCTCTTGGGTCAGCTTGGGGGCCTCTGAGGGGGTCCTGCGCCCTTTCTGGGCCTTCTTGGAGCCGTCAGGGCCCCCCCGGGCCCCCATGCAAACCAGGGGTCGTGGTTCCGGGCCGTCCCCTGGCCCACTCCGATATGTGTATATAATACGAAAAATCATAATAATAATAAACATATCAATAATTATAATAAAAAATAATACTAATAATAATGATAATAATAATAAGAATCATCCCCATCATCATCATCAGCATCATCATCATCATCAGCAGCAGCAGCATCAGCATCAGCATCAGCATCAGCATCAGCATCAGCATCATCATCATCATCATCATCATCATCATCATCATCATCGGAATAATCATAATAATCATAATAATCATACTCGAACCATTCGCGCGCTTCTCGCGCGCCAAGGTTTTAGCTGCGCCCAGGGAACGCGCACCGCAAATGTCCAATACGTCAATGAGGAGAGCAAGGGCGACGTCGGCACTGGTCTCTGACGCCGCGCGGACCGTGCAACCTTGAACGATCGTGGCTTCCAATTGTGCAGATCGCTAAATACCGGCCGATTCCAGGCTCCTGGCGTTCAACTGTGAACACACGCGCCAGGGTTGCCGCTGCGTCAACGCGGCGATGACCTACCGTATTTGTTCGGGGGGGTATCGACCCCAGAATGGCCCATGATTTGTCTGTCGTCGGTGTTCGTCGATTCTTGATGTTCGAAATATGTTCGTCGCTTTTGGTCTCTAGGAGCCCGTTGCGGGGACGCTCCTGGGACTCAACGAACAGGGCGAAAGACGTCTGAAACCCTCCATCCCCCAGCCTGGGGTGGGCGGTGGTTTAGGGCGTTTCCTCTTCGAACCTCTTCTTCCCCTTCGGGGAGGGGATTACCCCTCCCCGTACCTCCTTCCCATGTGTCTGGGCGGGGTGTTCCGCGAGGGAGTAGAAAGTCCAAGATGGCCCAAGATGGCTCCCAGAGGGCCCGAGGCATTCCACGATGGCCTCCAAGATGGCTTAAGACATCGCAAGCTCGTTCAAGAGGGTTTTCACTGTACTCTGAGAAGCCCCAAGATCTCTCCAAGATAGGCCCAAGTGGCCACGGAGCCTCCCAAGGATGCCCCACGGAGCCTCCCAAGGATGCCCCTAAGAAACCAAACATGCGCCAAACACTAAAAACAAGATCGTTGATTTGTGCCTTCTCGCCTTTTCCGCTTCCGATAAGCTTTGAAGACCTCCAGTTGGTTCCCAAGATGGCCCAAAAAGGCCTCATGAGAAGCCAAAGATGGCCTCGAGAGCGCCCAGAGGCGCCGCAAGAGCGCCGCAAGGGAGGGGGGCCACGAGGCGACAAAAGGAGATAATGGTGATGGCAGACATGGCGGCGCGGTACGGGCAAACGAGGCGATGGCAGACATTGTCTAGTCCTCCCACGATTCCAATGCAAAACTCAGGATCATCGTCATAGCCGTAATCACCACCATCACCATCACCACCACCATCATATTCATCATCACCACCACAATCATCATCGTCATCATTGCCTGTTCGGGGCCCTCTTGGGGGCCTTCCCGGAGCCCTATTAGGATGTCATGCGGGCACCTTGGGTGGTCGTGAAGCCACCTTGGGCCTTGTCGGCCGTCTTGGGGCCCTCGTGGGCCGTCTTGATGCCCCTTGGACCTCCTTGGGGGCCTCTTGGACCGTCTTTGAAGTGCCCCGAGGATTCCAGGGAGCCTGGGGGCAACTGGGGCCGTCTTAAAACCAACCAGGGCCATCTTGGGGCCATCTTGGGCCGTCTCGCGTCGTCTTGTAGCCATGTGGTGCCATCCTGACCCCGCTGGTGCCGTCTTGAGGCCATCTAGGTTGTCTTGGGGCAAGATTGGGGATGTCTGGGCTAATTATCTTCGGGCCCTCTTGGGCCGTCTTGAGACCCTCTCGGGCCCCTCTTATACGCCGTCTTTCGGCCCACTCGGGAGGCCCTGGGGGCCGTTGTGGGGCCACCTTGGAAGTCTGTTGGGCTGTCATGGGCTGCCAGAAGCCCGAGAAGGCGAGAACGCTGAAATTCTTGGAATACCTAAAGAAAAGCAATGTCTTTTCACTCCGTGTGCTACTCCGTAGCCTTTGGCACATCCTGCCACCGTGCCTGGGTTGTGGGCCAGAGGCCTCTTGGATGCCTGTTGGGGTCTCTGGGGAAGCCTCTAGGCAGCCTCGTGGAGGCAGTTTTGAAGCCTCTCCGAGGGCATCTTTGGGCCTATTTGGGGTATTTGTTGGGCCTCATTGGGTTCTCGTGGGGGCTCCTTACGGGCCTGCTGGCGTCTCGCGAATCCTCGCGGGGCGGAAGCATCGACGTGTCAGTTCGAATCCCTCCCCTGGGGCACCTCTTGGGTCCTCTTGGGGTCCTGGGCGCCTCTTGGGCCGTCTTGGGGCCCTCTCGGGCTTTCCTGGGGCCCTCTTGGGGACCTCTTGGGCCGTCTTGGGCCTCTCATGGGAGCCTCTTGGCCTGTCTTGGACGCTGTCGAAATCAAGATAGCGAATTTGCTCAAATGTGTTTTTCCTCCGCGGATGGGACAAATTGTGCCTCTTCGGGCCCTCTTGGGGGTCCTCTGGGAGCCATCGTGGGGCGTCTTGGGGGCCTCCTGGGCCGTCTTGACGCCATCTTGGGCCGTCTGGAGGCCGTCTTGGCCCGTCTGTGACCGACTAGGAACCGACCTGGAAACTCTGGGGGTGCCGGGGAGGCTCGCTCCGGGAGCCGGGGGGGCACTTAGTGTTGTCTGGGTGCCCCTGGTGTGCTGGGGCCCCTGGGCCCACAGGGCTGGGGTTCTGGTATATGAGAGAAAGGTTCCCCCCCTCTCCCGTGCGCGCCTCGTCGCGCGCACCGCCCCCTCTTCCCAAGGCTCTGTCGGCGCCCAGACACGTCCCCGGCGGTCTCCAAGGAGTCCAACATCGCCAAGGTGGCTTCCAAGACGAACCTGGGAGGCCACCAAAGTCGCCAAGATGGCCCAAGCTACCTCCGAGACGGCCCAAGAGGCCCCAAAGAAGCCCCAAGGGCGCTCCAAGAGGACCCCCAAGAGGGCCCCAAGAGGCAAAAGCCATGAATTCCCATAGTGTTTTTCAATATTTTTCGAAGACATGCTCCACATACCGCATACAGTGAAAGTATTGAACACTGAAGTCGCCCCAGAAAACAAAACTAGCAAAACACCGTCCGTCGCGATTCGCCCTCCTCACGACGCTAGGGGATCTGGGGAGGAGGATCAGGCGGAGAGGGGGGCGGGAGCACAGGAGCAACAAGGGCTTCAGCGCTGCAAAGCCGGGGCGCTCGGCACGAGCCGCGGGCCTGGAGCACCCAGAGCACCAGCAGCCGCATGAGCGCTGGCACCTTGAGGCACGGCAGCCTGCCCTTCACCTGCGATGGGCGCTAGCTGCACACCGGCGGCTCACCGAGGGGGGAAAAGGCGTAAGGGCCCAGACCTCAAGCCTTGGTTTTGTCTTTGCTGGGTTTGTTTTTCCCCACATCCTAAGTGGGGTTCTTGTTTTCTCTGCACACCCTCCGCGCAGGCTCTCTCCTCCTCCTCCTCCTCCTCCTCCCTCTCCTCTACTCCTCTTTGCTTCCTCCTCCGCATCACCATCACCATCACCATCACTCCCCAGTCATGATCATCATCACCATCAGCATCACCATCACCATCGCACGATCACTCACCATCATCGGCATCGAACGATCATCATCATCATCATCATCATCATCATCATCATCATCATCATCATCATCATCATCATCATCATCATCATCATCATCATCATCATCATCATCATCATCATCATCATCATCATCATCATCATCATCATCACTACTCGCTGACTTGAGGCCTGAATATGGAGGAAGTCTCGAGCGGGAGCCTCGTCTGTGAGTGAATTGCGAGGAAGTCTCAGGCGGGAGCCCCCTCCCTATGGGGCCCGCACTTCATGTTCGAATCCGAGCGGGTCATCCGCAACGTGCAACTGTCGTCACTTTTGGGCTCTTGAGGCCTGAATATGGAGGCAGTATCAGGCGGGAGCTTCGTCTGTGAGTGAATTGTGAGGAAGTCTCAGGCGGGAGCCCCCTCCCTATGGGGCCCGCACTTCATGTTTGAATCCGAGCGGGTCATCCGCAACGTGTAACTGTCGTCACTTTTGGGCTCTTGAGATTTGAATATGGAGGAAGTCTCGAGCGGGAGCCTCGTCTGTGAGTGAATTGTGAGGAAGTCTCAGGCCGGAGCCCCCTCCCTATGGGGCCCGCACTTCATGTTTGAATCCGAGCGGGTCATCCGCAACGTGCAACTGTCGTCACTTTTGGGCTCTTGAGACTTGAATATGGAGGAAGTCTCGAGCGGGAGCCTCGTCCGTGAGTGAATTGCGAGGAAGTCTCAGGCGGGAAACCCCTCCCTATAGGGCCCGCACTTCATGTTTGAATCCGAGCGGAGGTTCTCAAGAACGGCACTGTCGTCACTGTTTGGGCTCTTGAGACTGAATATGGAGGAAGCCGAGCGGAAGCCTCGTCTGTTGAGGAATTGCGAGGAGTCTCAGGGGAGCCCCCCTCCTATGTGGCCCGCAGCTCATGTTCGAATCCGAGCGGGTCATCCGCCAACGTTGTAACTGGTCGTCACTTTGGGCTCTTGAGACCTGATATGGGGAAGTATCAGGCAGGAGCCTCGTATGTTTAGTGAATTGTGAGGAAGTCTAAAGCGGTGAACCCCCCTTCCCTATGGGGCCCGCACTTCATGTTTGAATCCGAGCGGGTCATCCGCAACGTGCAACTGTCGTCACTTTTGGGCTCTTGAGATTTGAATATGGAGGAAGTCTCGAGCGGGAGCATCGTCTGTGAGTGAATTGTGAGGAAGTCTCAGGC